ACTCTTTAGCACTGGCCCGACAGCTCACAAATGATGTCCCAAAATTGATTGAGTTTCTCAAAGACTTACATCCTAAGCTAGGTAGTAAGCATATTAAACAGAGATGTACAAAAGYCCGCAGAAAATTAGAACGTCTCCTTAAAAMCCCTGATCGAACTTTCCCAACTGACAGCAGTGATACTGACAGTTCGCAACAAAGTGGAAAACYTTAAAACACTTTTCTCAACAACATTATTTATTAATATTTACAAAATTCGATTTCGRCAGCAATTTTCTGTTACAATGGAACATAAATGGTTTTAGCCCACACTATGAAAACCTTCAAATTCTAATAACGGAACTGCAACCTCTTGTCATTACTCTACAAGAAACTCATTTTAAGGAGAATAAACATMGTAACCTCAAAAATTACAACTGCCTCTTTAAAAATAGACTCAACATTACCAAAGCTGCCGGGGGAGTTGCAATTTATACACGAGCAGATACACAAGCTGATGAAATTTATTTAAACTCTCCACTAGAAGCTGTAGCCACACAAATAAAAATAAATAACCAAAAAATATCCATATGTTGCTTATATCTTCCTCCAACATCCGCTGCTCGTATTCTTGATATCCAAAATGACTTACAAAATTTAATTAACCAACTACCGCAACCTGTAATCCTACTTGGTGATTTTAATGCTCATAGTACCTTATGGGGATCAAAACATACTGACAAGAGAGGAGAAGAAATAGAAGAGTTTTTAGAAGCTGCCAACTTATTTCTACTAAACTCAGGAAAAAACACACGATTTAACGCAAGCAATGGGTCATGTTCAGCAATAGGCTTAACACTTTGCAGTCACACACTAGCCCCCCTCTTGTTATGGTCAGTTGACTCTACATTACACGGCAGTGATCATTTTCCCATAAAACTAAATCACTCACACTTGGAAAAGAAAAATTGGTTCTCTCCTTCAAAGTGGAAGCTTGAAACGGCAAATTGGGAAGCTTATGCACAAGACATAGAACTTGCCCTAGAGAACAACGTTCATTCGGAAGTCATAGAAGTTCTTCTTGGAAAACTTACAAACACTGTCCTATCAGCAGCACATCGGCATGTTGGGAAAATCCCTTCTAAATCACACTCACCTACAAGAAGAGTACCTTGGTGGAACGATGAATGTGCGCAAGCAACTCGAGCCTGTAAGACAGCTTTTAATAAAATCAAMAGACACCCATCTATGGAAAACATTATAGAATTCAAAAGAGMCCGTGCTAAACAAAGATACGTAATAAAACAAAATAAAAARGAATCCTGGGCTAAATATATTTCGAGTATTACACCTACAACCTCCTCACGCGAAATTTGGCAAAAAATTCGATCACTAAAAGGAAATTATATAAAGAAGAGCATTGAAATTCGAAACAGAGATGGTGTACTTACTCATGACGATAAACTAGTTAGCGAAATCCTAGCTGACCACTTCCAGGGTGCTTCTAGTTCCTCAAATTACAATAATTACAATGAAGCATTCTTACAACACAAACAAAGATAGAATCTACAGAAAATGACAGAGAAGATCTTAATGATGGTGTACTAAACGTTCCTATTACAAAATATGAACTTGAAGAGGCACTTAACAAGCAGAAAAACACCAGTCCCGGTCCAGATGACATTCCTTCTCCTTTGTTGCAACATCTTCCTCCCAAAGCAAAAGACCTTCTCCTAAATTTATTAAACACAATATGGWTAAAACGTAAATTTCCCAATGTATGGAAACAAGCAATAGTAATACCAATTCAAAAACCCCATTCCGATCCATCAAACYCAACATCTTATAGACCAATTTCACTAACTTGCAGCATGTGTAAAATATTTGAAAAAATCATAAACACCCGTCTTTTGTGGTACATAGAAGAAAACAATTTTTTATGCAAAGAGCAAACGGGTTTTCGTCAACACAGAAGTACAATTGACAATATTGTTCATCTTGAATCAGTTATACATGACGCATTCTCATATGGACACAAAACACTGTGCGTATTCTTTGACATAAAAAAAGCATTTGATATGGTAT